ATGTTCGCATTTAGGTACGCATTACGGAACGCATTCACTTGCGCGGTGCACTTGTCCATCACCAAAGCCCGAGCACCGGCAACCGAGGGGCCAATTCCAACATACCTCTCACTGCCACCTTGTAAGCTACCTCTGTCTCATTAGGCAACAGGGCATAAAAGAAACTCATACCGAGGCCGCTAACGTCCACAAACATGCAGTGCCACAAGATGTAGCCTCCGTAATTGATCTGATACGTGGAGTCCACCAAAATTACCTCGCCGTATTGGCCCACCAATTCAAGCATGCGCGAAGGTGCGAAAAATAGGTAACGAAGCTGATTACCCTCATGCAGAATTTTCACCTCACCATTTCTTTGAAACAGTTGAGTCACCTCCTCCACCTCAGTGACACAGGCCTTACTATGACGCCGCCGCATGACATACAAATCCCTCCTTGTCAAACGAATGTCATACTACTGCCGCACAAAGGCACTCATCTCCTGGGTCCGACGAAAGGTTCTCATTAAGTTAAGCACCAGCCTCTCCTGATCTTCGGTTAGCCTCCGATTACACGCATAAAGCCAAGGCTACCTAACTTGAAAACTGTGCGAATGCCACAGATACGCATTTCCAATTTCGTAACATTCGCCCTTATACGTAATAGAAAAACGCGCAAGGCAATTGTAACATCGGTACCTATAGTAATCTTATCATGAGGCAATTGCAATGCACTTACCGCTTTCCAGTGACATTACTGCGCCTTCCATGCACACATACATACAGAATATATCGGTATAGGCATCCTTCCGGTAGCACCTGTCCAGTCTCCCTTTCGTACGCCCTCGCAGATTGCACGTTCCGACGAACAAAGGATGTCGCCGTTTTAATCTAAAACTCTTTCAGATCCTTCTCCACCGATGCGAAGTCCAGATAAGGACCCTTAAGCATACGTCGGAATGCAAGCGAGTCATCCACCATGACTGCCACACGTGAGGCGGGAAAATGATTAACCATCGTAACGCATTTAAACCACTTAGTAAATTGATTACCAATTGAGGTCGTAGGATTTCAGCAAGCATACTCAATCATTAATAAACAACACTATGGGCTCAATGTCGCCAAATCTACATCACATCACCTGCAACCCCGTGTACCGGAATAACACTTCCGAAGGAGCGTTAATTCCAAGTGGCGGATAGGACGCTCTCGAAGACACAACTAAATATACCTACAAACGTAGCTGCTTTGGAACAGTAAAAGGTGTGGTTAAAATAAAGTACAACCAAAATTTTCGTAGTTTACTCACTTGAGAAGTTCGTGGGTTAATAGTGGGATCCCATAACATTATGGCGCTGGTTTGCAAAATAATCAAGTTTATTACCATGGTGGCAATAGCCAACGGTCGGCATGATTTCGCCATGATGTAATCCATGGTTTCATGAGCACAGGAGCCAATGTAAAATGTCCGTACAAGCGTTTCCGATTAAAAGTTGATGTACTGCTTAACATAATATTATCTGGAACAATAGTTATCGAGCAATACTTATATAAAGAAAGAAGGAAATGTTTTATTCTCGACAGTGCGAGACATGTCTGCTTAGTCATGACCATGGAGACACAACAAGGACTGGTTAATGTAAAAACGACACGAGTTTATAAGTAACATATGGATCCATGTGTTAAGTGTGCATGAATGGAGTGCGAACACCATTACTTCCTTGAGACTTGAGGCGTCTGTGAACATTGACACGAACTTTACTAGGTTGTTTCTCTTGAAGTTTGTCTGGCAAACAGGTACAGGACGTAAGTTATTATTATTAGTATTTATTATTATTATTATTGTTTTATTATTATCATTATTATTATTATCAACGCCACACATTCTGTGCGCACACATGCAAAGTTCCGCTCATACAATTTCTCCACCAACTTCTGATATAATTCCTGGAGTGGAAACCGTGGTTATGAAATGCAGCGTGATAACAGAAGGCACCTTTTGCGGCTGCTAGATTGGCTTCTGTGTTTCAACGTTGTTTATCGCAAATAATTATTTCAGGGGCGGAAGAAGCTGCCGCAGACATTGTCGCCTAAGAACTATCCTATTTCAAGTGTTTCATGAGATCTGATATGCCAACTTGAACCATAGAAAATTTCGATTTGCATTTGTCAATCCGAACTTGAACAATGAACAGTGATGTATTACAAGTAAAAAGGCGATTGCTTTACAAGTCCAGTAGGATGGTTGAAATGAAAGTAAACATAAATGTAAATCGTCGTTTTAAGCGTCCAGTGAATTCAACTTGCGAGTCGTTGTCGCGCGTGGCCTACTTAATGAATGGCAAATCGCTCACCAATTGAGTAGTCATCTTACACGTTTGTTTAGACATGGTTTTCCCACCAAGCTACACAATATGCAGGCATTCTCCACTAAAGTTCCAAGAATCTCACCATCGCTTTTCTTCCCTCATTGCATATTGTAGTAAAATGTTTCTTTGCCGCGTTCTCCACCCACGCAGTCCATTATCCCGCAAAACATGCCGGCCTGGTTATTTCGGTCTTATTGTAACAAGAACGGCACGGCAATGAAGGACAAATTTGATTGGGGCCAACACAAGCTATATGAATCCCCACACAGACGTACATCACCTTTCCTTCCCACGACGCACCATCTCTCCGGGTTTCCGCTCGCGACACCATACACTTTGGGGGCCTCGTGAAAGGGTATTCCCCCTACATTACACCCCTGTATCTCCACTTCTACGCGTCCCATTCTGACCGGCCCGGGTTTTCTTTTGATAGTTCTTAATTTACGTGAACGTGGATGCAACACACAATGCTTGGGGTTGGTCCGGGATGTTACAATAACGGACGTCCATCATGCCCCGTTCTCCTCTCGTTCCGTTAAGCCAATGTTCCTCCGCCTGCTCTCCCTGATTGTGCCAGTTCCCGTTTCCGTCCGCTTCCTTTTTAGTGGTCTTTTTGTCTTCCGGGCAATCACTGCCTTCTGCCTCCCTACCTTATGGTGTGCCTGCACCGCCACTGTTTGATTCTTGCTATTCCACTTACATTATACATGATCAAAGGGGGATATTCTAAAGGTTTACGTCCTCAAATCGGCACATTAGTACATCCCGCCCAGCATTTTTAAGAAAGCGGGACACCAACTTTAAATGCAGGGCTATTTCGCTTAAATTGGGATGTAGGTTTACCTCGAGTGCATGTGATTTACCCGGATATTGTCGTGGAAAGTAGGCGGGAGTTACGGTCCACCCTCGGAGTTTTGATCGCTGATTCAGCGTGCATCGCAAAAGCCACTGGTTATATGAACAGATTGGATGAGGTGTAGCTATCGAAAGTGAGGCGGGTTGATCTAACCGGACGGCAGGTCATGTATGCAAGCCTCGTACTCCGCAGCCACAGACCGGACGTACGTGTGGGGTCAGCGATGGTTGACTGCACAGTCACTGTGGCGACAGACACCTGATCCACTTCTAGACTGAAGCAGGGGCTAAGTAGCGAAAAGAGCTAGTGGCCACGTGTGTAACTGGATAGACACTTGCTACAAGCCCTGAGAGCCTGTCCTAACGTAGCATAGCGTACCATGGCCACAGGTGAACACATGCGAGTGTTTTAACTGGGGCATTACGTGTTGCTGAATTTGGCCGCACAGTATAACTCCCGTGTGGACGGATACACGCCATCCATTCACATACTTCGCCAAAGTTCGGTTTGCGTCAGTGGGACACTATAATTGCATGTGTGACCGGCCTCAGAGAATTCATGTCAGCATTGCTTTGTCCCTATGCCGTCACAGTCTCGCGCACCGCCGAGAAATAAACTGTTTTATTTACAACAGTTAGTTCCCTCCAATAGTTTGAATAACACAATGGAGACGAACACTGATAAATGCACGCATTTCGTATTGTCTCATCAGTACCAATACAACAACTAGTAATTATCACATACAGTCCCAAAGGTGTTCCCAATCAGTGAAATGCCGTGAGATGAACGGCGGCAATCGTCCTAGGACCGGGTATTCGTAGGTCAAAAACTGACTGTTTCTGCACTCACAGGGCAGGTATTAGCTGGCTTGTCGTCACGGCTTACGCGAACCGTAATAAGCGTGGATTAGGATTACGTAATAGCAGCCGAAATGCGGAACCGGTGTCAAGCAGATAAGGGGTCAATAAAACATGTTCACGTTTGCGTGCACACGGAATATTGGACGCGAAATGGCTGACCTCACCTTGAATCAATTTGGTCCGGGGTTCATTCACTCTGGAATTCAAAAACCCCTCATTCTTGCTTATCAAACTAACGCAGCAGGGATAATCGGATTAGTGAGTATTGTGTGATTTGGCGCTGATAAGTTCAACTTCCTATGCTGTTTATCACCACAGCATCTGTAGCACATTACATTATCTGATTGACGTAGAGGAAGCGCTTGGTTGTCCTCGTTGAATCGGGGTTACCCGGAGATTCCTGATCGAGAAAAATTTACTATAATAGAACAGCCCTCATACTCAATTGATATTGCTCTAAGCGACGCTGGTATTAAGGAGCATCGTGGAAGAATGCTTCCAGCAGTTCGTCGGAGTGTGGTAAAGAATGACGGAAACCCGCATTAAACCCGAGGGGATTGTGCTGAAGGTGAAGTTATAC